TGCTCAAAGCCATGGAACATTTTCCTAATCACCAACAGGTAAGCGTGTGGGAATCTCCATTCAAATATCCTTTTAGTGTCTCCCACTCATCTCCTACGTCCATAGTTCAATTTAGTAGACCAAGGCTAGAAATTCAGATGCTTTTGGAGCTGACTATAAAGTAATAAATTTGTGATATAACTGAGTGTAGGACAACACAGAAGTAGGAAACTAAACCATGCATATTTCCTGCCTAAAAAGTATGTAAATCCAAATGTTGAGAGAAATAGTGTAAGCCATATAAAACTCATCTTCAACCTACACCTTGAGTCTGTGATAATTTCAGCAACAGGCATAGAGCATCTGTTCTGGGCCAGGCACTATCAAGCCTGGGATACAGAAATGAATAAGACATGGATATTCTATTTCTAGGAGTAGACCACATAACCTATCCTATCCTCCATGTAAAAACTAAAAATATTGCTTGAATGATATTTTTAACTCTTAAAATTTAGCAGTGAGTTGACAAGTTAGTAAATACTCAGAGTTCCAAAACCAGCTAAGAATGGCAACCCAGATTGGTGAGTGGATCATTAAACCCATCTTCCCTCATTGGGGGCCACTGCCAAACTAGATGAACTTTAGGCTTTGTTTTTCATAGCCTCTGGAAGATAGGTGGACAGAAGACAAAGTAGGACCCACCCAAAGTCTACCAGAACAGAGGGTGGTTAGCTGGAATTACCCAATTTATTATCCTATTTCCTATTTAATGGAAAAGACAAATTATGTGCAAGTAAACTTATCTAAATCCCATGGAAATCAGTCTTTCACTAGTAGGTGGGCAGAATAAAGGTTATAAGAAAAAAAGTGGTATTTCATCAGTTGTCTTCCTTTTTTTATAGAGGCAGCCCTGGATGCAAAATAACAAAGCAATATTTTATTTAGGATTTTTTTTCTCTCTTTGTTTTTTAGTTACAGAAGAATTGCCTCCTTTCACTTTGTAGTGACCGGATCCTTCAAGATGTTCCATTTAACAGGCAAGTAATTGTCCTAGAACTTAAAATGAGACAAAAGAGAATTTTAGAAATCTGCCTTGAGTCATTTCTTATCAGTATATTTCTTTTGTACAATTAATAAAGTAGATGAGATTGTCTGTTGCCTTATAGAATGTTAAATTTACTTTCTCTAATTTAGTGCTTTGACATTCATGATAGCAGATTGGTCCCAAAGTTAGTAAGTGGTGGAGGTGATATTTGAATCCAGCTTGACTCCAAAGTTATGATGTTCTTAATGACTTGACTGCATTGCCTCACATGACAAAATAATTTATTATCATCATTAACATTAGGTAGAACTAGAATTCAAACCCCAATATCCAAAGAACATCAGAATCTGTGCTTTTAACTACCAGACTGTATCACGTCATAATTGTGGGCAAGTTCAAAGACTGATGAGCAGTTCACTTTGCAGTAAGCATAGCGTAGGCAGGAAAAAAGAAGATTTGAAAAAAGAAGTATGGGCCAGTTGCTAAATACTGTGAGTACAGGAGTGATGTCATACCTAAGTCCTCAGACAGATTTATTTATTACCAATGTATAGGCACAAATTGAAGGGAAAGCAGTGGAGGGAAGGCACATTAGAAATCTGGAAGAATTCTGGTTTATCTAAAGAAAACAGCACTAATTTAAAAAGATATATGCCCCCCTATGTTCATTGTAGTGTTACTAGTAATAGCCCAAATATGGACGCAACCTAAATGTTCATCAATAGATGAATGGATAAAGGAGATGTGGTGTGTGTGTATGTGTGTAATGTACATATACACACAATGGAATATTATTCAGTAATAAAAAAGAATGAAATCTTGCGATTTGTGACATCGATGGACCTAGAATGTATTTTGCTAAGTGAAATAAGTCAGAGACAAATTACCATATAATCTCACTTATATGTGGAACCTAAAAAAGCCAAAATAATGAATAAACAAAACAAAATAGAAACAGATCCATAGATATAGACAACAAGCTGATGGTTACCAAAGGGAAGGGGTGTAGGGTGGGAATTAAGAAACAATTTATTTTTAATGTTGGTGGACTGATTCTATCAAGGCCTACCTAACTTTTCGCGTTTGCAGCTTACCTTTCCCCATAGCTGATGTCCCACCGGTTTACTTAATCCTCAAGGCTCAGCCCTATGACGTTCCCTATCACCAATCCTGACTGTAGTAAAGCATGAGGTATTTAAGGAGTCCTAGATAGCTCAATGCCTTCTGACAAGGGAGTACAACATAATCTATAAAGTAGTTTGCCCCCCAAAAATCAAAAATAAATCTGATTAAATTTCTAAATCAAAGTATCAATTTATAGGAAATACAGATGGTAGAAGAACATGTTGGACAAAGAATCCAATTTCTTCATCAAATAAATTGCAAGCGGGTGGGAAGGGGAGGAAAGGGATATAAACAAAACCTGTAGATTAAAAGGCACTTAAAAGACATATCAATCTACCTCAATGATGTGTGGGCAAAAAAAAAAAGAAAAAAAATTTCAGTAATGGGCTTGATCAGAGATGGCCTTGAATAGAAGAGAAGTAACTAAATTTGAAGGAAGTTGGAGAGGAGTCATTTACATCAATATAATCATTCAGCCAACATGTATTAAACACTATGTGTATAAAGCACTGTATTGGATTCTTGGCATAAAGACTAAATAAGGATACAGTCCATTCCCTAAAGGAACTCACATGCCAATGGAAGATTCAGGTGAGTCTAAAGATAACCACAGCTCTCTGAGAGAGTTACACACAATTGCCAAGGAGTAATGAGAGGGCAATAACAAACTTGTCAAGGAAAGTTTCTCATAGGAAGTGATATTTGAGCTGAGTCTTGAAAGATGAAATTATGGGTAAGATAATAAGATAATCAGATATATTTCTTGGTGTCATCCTTGACTTTTTTCCTTGTCTCACACCCCACATTCAATCCTTAGGCAATTCCAGGTCTAATCTTCAAAATATATACGAAATTTGACCATTTGTCTTCACTTTAATTTCTACCACTTAGATTAGACTAAAAATGATCTCTCCTGAATTATTGTGGTTGCCTCTGAACTGCTCTCCTTCTGTCCTTGACCTCCTGAAGTTTATTCTAAATACAGCTGATAGAATAAAACTATTAAAAATATAAGTCAGTTCATGTCATATCTCTGCTCAGAATCCTTTCATGGCTTTCCACCTGATACAGAGTAAGAGCCAATTCTTTACTAAGACTCTATGATCTCGCTCTCCTGTTATCTCTGACCTCATTTCTTAGTACTGCTCTTTCCTTTGTTCTCTGCTCTAGCCTCACTGATCTCCATGCTATTTCTCAAAACCTTCAGGCACACTCTCACTTCAGGGTCCTTGTGTTTCCTGTTCTCTCTGCCTGGAATGCTTTTTCCTTAGATACCCACATGGCTAACACTTTACTTTGTCAGAAGTTTCAGTTAGGCCTTCCCTAGCCACCTTACATAAAATTCCAACATTTCATATCTTCTCTTTCATTGCTTTATTTTTTTCTCTTTAGCATATGTCAGTACCTAATCATGCCAGATATTTAACTTATTTATCTGATTTATTGTATATTTTCCCTACTAGAGTATAAGCCCTATGAGAGTAGAGATATTTTTATTATGCTCACTATCTCTAGCACCAAGAACTATATCTGGCACACAGCAGAGGCTTATAAATATTTTTAAACAAATGAGTTCCTGTTGTGCTAGGTACTGTGAGGAACCTAGAAAGTACTTAAATTATTATTACAGTTTAGAAATCACTACAGAATAGAAATATAGAATAGAAATACGTTTTAATTCTAGAAGATGAATGCCAAATAGTTTTGATTCTTGTTCTTTACAAAGTATTATCATAGTTAATAGTGAGATACTGTCTCTGGAACACTAAACATAACTGTTATTCTCTGTCAATTAAGAGGAACGTTCCCTTTCCTTCTTACCTACCTAAATTCTAGCATCACTTCTCACCTGAAACTGTGCCTGGGCCTCCGGATTAATTCATGGAACGCTTTGTGTGTCCTCAGGTTTGAAGCAGCCAAACTTGTCATGCAGTGGCTCTGCAACCATGAGGATCAAAACATGCAAAGGATGGCAGTTGCTATTATTTCCATCCTGGCTGCCAAGGTACCTGAACGCTTTGTTTCCTGTTACAGATACTGTTTTCTCCAAAATTTATGTGCCATAATGTTAGTAAGCCTCTCTGCCAGCCTGCTTATTCAATCTGTATTCAATAGTGCAGATTTCTAGGTTGATCAGAGATTTTAGTCTGACCTTTGGAGTCTGTTACAGTGAATGATGTTAAACTCACACTGAGTTCTTGGATATTTACTTTGTCTACTTGCTTGCAGCTTTCTACAGAACAGACTGCACAGCTGGGTGCTGAGCTCTTCATTGTCAGGGTAAGTCTGTTATCTCTTCTATACAGATCACTAGACAATATTCAGTTTCATTGTGTATCTTCTGATGTTTTATATTACAAAAAATTATTTTTGTTACTTCCAAGTGAGTGTATTTATTTCTTTTCATAGAGGCAGCTTTACTCCTTAACAGAGATGGAAAGAGCCCTGAACTCGGAGTCAGATGACCTAGGATCTAACTTGTAAACTCACTTCATGAATTTAAACAAACCACATATACTATTGGGGCCTACATAGGCCTTACCATCCTATCTAGTTGTAAAATTCTGTGATTTTGTTAAATTTATGAAGAAAATATAAAGACTCTATTATAGGCATAAGATTGTGCTAGATGCTTTGGGAAAGAAGAAAATTTAAGTAGCTGATATGTGCTTTTGCTTACTTACACTCAGTTGGAGAAATAATATAGTGAACAATGGAGAGTTAAAAAAGCTTAAAAGAGAGTAAATATGAATAGTGTCTTAGGGAGGACTGAAGGCAAAAAGTCCACTTAGGGGCTTCCTGTTACAATCCTGACATGAGGTGTTTAAATAATATTAGCAGATGGAAAAGTCAAGTGAGAGACTCCCTTTTACTATGACTTACAAATTATGTATATAATGAGAATGTAAGTCATTCGTTTGATAAATATGTCTGCAATATTCATCAGGTACTTATCACATTTCTAGATGTTAGGGAGTCACACTGAATTATATCTATAATTCCTACCCTTAAGAAATTCACAATATAGCAGAGAAAATAGCTACATAGACATAGTTGTAAAATAATCTAATAAGTATAATAGTAGAGATATGAATGAAAAAAGTAATGTAAAGAGAAGAGAAGGCTGTGGTGGTATAATGGAAAGAGTAGGAACTCTTAAATTGACATATCTGAGTGTATTCCTAATTCTGTAACTAGCAGTGTAATTTGAGGCAAGTCACATAAATTTTCTTAAAGGTTACAAAAAATACTTTATGTGGTTGTTATGAAGACTAAATGAAAAGGAAAAAAATTAATTGAAGGAATATATGCTAAGTGCCTAGCATAAAATATAATATGTATTAGATGAGTAGAGGAGGCAGGTTTTATTTATTTTTACTATTTTCAGTGATGACATTTTAGTTATAAATATGGCTTTTTATTGCTGTATGTGTATTTCAGTAATTTTGGCTGGAGATATATTCAAAGATTTTAAGGAAATACTTCACTCATATATTTTGGAGGAAAGTTAGACTTAAGTTAAGCAGGAATTATTAGTAGTAGTGGTAATGATGATGCTAGCTTGCTATTTTTTTTGAGGGATGGGCTCTTAATTATCACCTGCAATTTACAGATGAAAAAACAAACAAATTAAATAGACGGCAGAGATTATATTTAAGCTCAGGCAGCCAGATTCTAGCGCTAGATTCTTAGCCACTATGCTATTAAGTTAATTTTTGTTGTTTCTTAAAACTTTTTTCCTCAGTTGTATGTAACTTTAAGTAATAGCGTTCATTATTGTTTACTTGTATCTGTTTTAGCAAAGCTTCCTTTTACCCCCAGAAGTATAATCTAAAAATGGAAATATGGATACCTTATGTAGATCTTAAAACATTTATCTTTCAAACTTTAAATTTCTTAGGTTAAAGCTATGATAGAAATAATTTACAAGTTCAAAGCGATTTTCTTATTTAATTAAATCAAATCCAATATAAACTTTAATTCTCTTACTATTGTTATTTTGTTTGGCCTTTCTTTTTTTCTTAAGGAAAAGTTGGAGTTAGGTCTTCGAGTTCTTACTTTCTCTTACTAAGTTGACTATGATCAAATTACTTAATATTTCTAAGGCTCAATTTCCTCTATTGAAAAATGGAGATAGCAGTACTACAATTTGGGATATAATTTGCCAATACTTAATGTTTGTTTCATTTCTCGCTTTTCCCCTTCCACTCTTTTAATCCCAGGATCTGAAATGAGTATATGTTGTGACCAATTGGGTAAAATAGTTGGTCCTAAGCTTTAATCATTTTGCTTTTTATTTTATTTATCAGTGATTAGATTATAAGTATGATCAGAATAATGTAGAAGTATTTATGAAGGTCCTATACTTTTTCGTTGTTGAAGGAAAAGTCTTATTTGAGAGGCTGTTGTACTTATAAAGTCTTTATAGGAAATGTTTTAAGCCATGAGAGTAATCTTCATAGACTTGTGGTTATTACCACTAATTGTAATAATTCAATAATGAGAAATTAATTCCATTTTCCTTCTTTCAGCAACTTCTTCAGATAGTGAAGCAGAAAACCAATCAAAATTCAGTGGACACTACTTTGAAGTTTACTTTGAGTGCACTTTGGAACCTCACAGATGAATCTCCAACCACTTGCAGACACTTTATTGAAAACCAAGGGTTAGAACTCTTCATGAGGGTTCTAGAGGTTAGAATGGGAATTTACCTGTAATTTTGACATTTATTGATTGCTTGACTTAAGCATTTATTTATTTATTTATTTATTTACTATATTTGGTTCTTTAGGAAGTTATACTTTTCTGTTTTTTTTTTTTTTTTACAGTCCTTCCCAACTGAATCATCCATTCAACAGAAAGTTCTAGGACTTTTGGTAAGATATAAGCATTTCCTGCTAAATTTAAAGCTATAATTATTTTCTGACTGAAGTAACACATTGAAGTTGCTACTCTATTTGTAAACACTTAATGACATTAGAAAAATATCTACAATATAATTAAGTTAAAAAAGTAAGGTACAAAATTACATATACATAATAAGATTTTCAGCACATTAAAATGTAAATTACATACTTTATATTTTTTGGTATAGTACAAAGCTTCACTGTGATCATGTTTTACTTTTATAATCAGAGAAAAAAAGATTTCATTAAAAAATGTCACTACCTACAAGTGTTCTTAGATGCTGTGTTTGTTAATTAATAATTACTATAAAAGACTGCTTAACAAATCAGATATTCTGCAGATATATTGGATAGAGGTTAAAGCGAGCTCTCTAAGATTTTTGAGACAAAGATGAAGGATCAGATATTTTATGGACCAAAGATGAAGGATCAGATGTTTTAATCACTGCAATAGGCAAAATGCCCACATGGTAAAAGCCATTTTAGAGCAGACTTCTGTTCTTGAGGAATTAGATGATAGGAGGCATAGGTTAGTGAGTTTAAAAAAATGTAGATTTGTGCCTGTTTTCCATATGGAAGACTGAGATACTGAGCAATGAGAGATGGATTTTTGGGAAAGCGGAGGGCTAGCATTTAAGGAAGGCTTATCAATTATAACTTTAGATATAAAAAGTAGAAAATGTAAAACCACCTAAATGCCCAGTAATAGGGAAGTATTAAATAAATTACATTGGATTATTAGATATAGAAGTTGGCTCAAGTCACTACAAGAGGAAAAGGGGATCTCATAGGGCCTTAAAAATGCTTTTTAAAATTTTTTCCAAAAGAACATGTGTACTGTAACTAGTGAAATAGTACAAAAATATATTTTAAAAGTTTAAGACTTTATCCCCATCCTTCCATCATTTTCATTTCCATGAGGCAATTAATATAACCTGATGTGCTTCCTTACATCTTTCTTCATTACTTTGTGATTAAATTTTTTTTAATAATATATGTTTAGATATTAGTTATAATTTAATTTTTTGTGATCAGAGGACCAACTTTGTTTGATTTGATTTTTTTTTTAATTTATTGAGGCTTGTATATGGCCCAGAACATGTCTGTCCTGGTAAATGTTCTACGTGCACTTGAGAAAAATGGGTATTCTGCTGTTGTTATATATATGTGTTCTATAAAGGTCACTCAGATCTATTTGGTTGATATTATTCAACTGTACCATTTCCTTTCTGATTTTCTGCCTACTTGTTCTAGCAGTTATTGACAGGGGTTTCAAAATCTTCAACTATAATTGTAGATTTGTCTGTTCTTACATTTCTATCAACTTTTGCTTATGTATTTTGAAGCTCGGTTATTAGGTTCATACACATCGTTATGCTCTCTTGATTAATTGACCCCTTTGTCATGTGAAATGACCTTCATCCCTAGTAATATTCTTTACTTTGAAATTTCCTTTGTCTCATATTAATATAGCCATTTCAGCTTTCTTTTGACTAAGGTTAACATGGTTTATCTTTTTCCATCTTTTTACTTTTAACCTATATTTGTCTTTATATTTAAAGTGTGTTTCTTTATACTTTGCATCCTACTTTTTATCTAGTCTGAGAATCTCTGCTTTTTATTTGGACCATTTACATTTAATGTGATAATTGATATGGTTAGATTTGGTTCATAACCTTGGTATTTGTTCTCTGTTTGTCCCATCTGTTCTTTGTTTTTTATTCTTTCTCTGTCTTCTTTTAGTTTGAGTATTTTTTATGATTTCATTTGATCTCCTTTCTTTATTCTGGTTTATTAGCTATTACTCTTTGCTTTGTTACATTAATGATTGCTTTTGGGTTTATAGTATACATAGACTATGTATAAGTTATATTATAGTAAACTTAATAAATAGTAAACTTCCATTTCTGCTGTTCTTTCTTTTATGCTATTGTCATGCATTTTATTTTTACATATGTTATAAAACAGGGGTCCCAACCCCTGAGCTGCGGACCGGTATTGGTCTGTGGCCTCTTAGTAACCGGGCCGCACAGCAGGAGGTGAGTGGCGGGTGAGTGAGCAAAGTTCCATCTGTATTTGCAGCCGCTCCCCAGCGCTAGCATCAGCACCTCAGCTCAACTTCAGATCATCAGGCATTAGATTTTCATAGGAGCACTGGTCCCTGGTGCCAGAAAGGTTGGGGACCACTGTTATAAAACACACAAACATTGTTATGTCAACTATCTTTTCATTTAAGCAGTTTTTAAGACATGTTTATCCAAATAGTTACTATTTCTGATGCTTTTCTTTTAATTATTCTTAAAATATTCTTTCCTTTATAGATTCACATTTCCATTTGTATCATTTTCTCTGCCTAAAAGACATGCTTTAATATTTCCTATAGTGTCGGACTGCTGCTGCTGAATTCTCCTACTTTTCTATGTCTGCAAACATCTTTATTTAACCTTTGTCTTTAAAAGAAGTTTTGCCAGGTATACAATGCTAGGTTGACAGTACATTAAAGATGTTGATTAGCTTTTTTCTGACTTTCATCTTTCCAATGAGAAATTTGATGTCATTGTTATCTTTATTCCTCTGTACATGATTTTTTCCTCTGGCTACTTTTAAGATTTAAGATTAACCACATTTGCATAATTTAATTATGATATGTCTTGATGTGATTTACTTCATGTTTCCTGTATTTGAGATTCATTGAGCTTCTTGGATCTGTAGGTTTATAATTTTCATCAAGTTGGAAAAGGTTTTGGCCATTATTTCTTCAAAAAAATTTTTTTGCACTCTCCTCCTGCCCCGAACCCATTGGAATCTTTTGGAGACTACAGTTTCTCATGTATTAAGCTGCTTGAAATTATCCCACAGCTCATTGGTGCTCTTTTAATTTTCTTTGTTTTTTTTTTTCTATGTTTCAATTTGGATAGTTCCCATTGCTATGCTTTCTAGCTAATTCAGTAATCGATCCTTTCGCAATGTCTCATCTGCTGTTAATCCCATCCAGTGCATTTTTCATCTTAGACGTTGTCATTTTATTTTCTAGAAGTTCAATTTGGGTCTTTTCTTTTTTTTTTATATCTTCCATGTTTCTACTTAACTTTTTGAACATATATTTGTAATAACTGTTTTACTGTTCTCTGCTAGTTTTAACATCTGTGTCAATTTTAAGTGATTGAAAATTCTCCTTATTTTGAGTTGTGTTTCCTGCCACTTTGTATGTCTGGTAGTTTTTGATTGAATGCCAGACATTATGAATTTTACATTTTTAGGTGCTAGATATTTTTTTTCCTATAAAATGTTCTTGAACTTTGTTCTTGGATATAACTAACTTACTTTTAAATAGTTTGATCGTTTTGGATCTTGCTTTTATAATTTACTAAGAGGGTTTAGAATAGTGCTCACACTAGGGCTAATTATTCTGTACTACTGAGACAAGATCTTCCTGAGTACTCTACCCAATGCCCATGAATTAAGAGTTTTTCCAGACTGAATGGTGAGAGTAAGCAGTATTCCTGGCCCTGTGTGAGTGCTAGGAACTTTTCTCTAATTTTTTTGATGGTTCTTTTTCTGCTCTCAAATAAGTTTCCTCACAGTCGTGCTCTGATCAACACTCTGCTGAACAGAGTGGTACTTTCTGCAGCTTTCTGGATCCGCTTTATGTGCAGTTCTCTTCTCTCTAATATTCTGTCCTATGAGTTGTCTTGGTCTCCCAGGACTCTCAGCTCTATCTCTTCCACTATAGAAATCCACTGGGCTCTGCTTCAGTTCTATATCCCTGTGCCACAGCCTGGAAACTCCCTCAAGGCAGTTATCTCACCTCGTTTGTTTTCCATCTCTAAAGGTCACTGTCTGAACATACGATAAATATAAGAAAGCATAAAAAAATAAATAAAAGTCACTGTCCTTTATTACCTAATGTCTAGTATCTTGAAAACTTTTTGTTTTTGTGTCTTTTTAATTGTTTCAGACAGGGAGTGAACAGTCTATTAACAATGAAATGGTTCCTAAGAAATGGAATCAATGTAATAGAATTATGATTTCATAATAGATCAAATGAAGTTTTAAGAATGAGGATTCATTGAAATAAACTCATGACATGGTCAGTTAATCTATGACAAAGGAGGCAAGAATATACAGTTTATTCAATAAATGATGTTGGGAAAACTTGACAAATACATCCAAATAAATGAAACGAGGCCACCTTCTTACACCACATATAAGAATAAACTCAAAATGGATTAAAGACTTAAATGTAAGATCCAAAACCATAAAACTCCTAGAAGAAAATATAAGCAATAAAACTCCTCAGGCAAGAGAAACAAAAGAAAAAATAAACAAATGGGACTATATCAAACTAAAAAAGTTTTGCATAGCAAATGAAACCATCAACAAAATGAAAAAACACCCTACTGATTGGGAGAAGACATTTGCCAATGATATATCTGATAAGGAATTAATATCCAAAATTTATAAAGAACTCATACAACTTAACACCAAAAAAAAAAAAAAAAAAATCCAATGAAAAATGGGCAGAAGACCTGAATAGACATTTCACAAAAGAAGGCATACAGATGGCCAATAGACAAATGACAGGATGCCCAAAATCACTAATCATCAGAGAAATGCAGTTTAAAACCACAATGAGATATCACCTCATACCTGTCAGAATAGCTATTGTCGACAAATCAACAAACAAGTGTTGGCGAGGATGTGGAAAAAGCAAACCCTCATGCATTGTTGATGGGACTGCAAATTGGTACAACCACTATGAAATAGAATATAGAAGTTCCTTAAAAAATTAAAAATAGAACTATTTTATGACCTAGCAATTCCACTTCTGGGTATTTATCCGAAGAAATCCAAAACACTAATTCGAAAAGATAAATGCACCCCTGTGTTCATGGAAGCATTATTTACAATAGCCAAGATATGGAAGCAACCTAAATTCCTATGAACAGACAATTAAATGAAGAAGAAGAGTAATATTACTTGGCTATAAAAAAAATAAAATAAAATCTGACTATTTGTGACAACATGGATGGATATGTAGAATATTATTTTAAGTGAAATAAGTCAAAGACAAATATTGTATGATCTCATTATATGTGGACTCTAAAGAACAAAACAAATGAACATACAAAATAGAACTGACTCATAGATACAAAGAACAAACTGATAGTTATTGGATAGGAGGAGAGTTGGGATGTTGGTTGAAAAAGGTAAAGGGATTAAGAAGTACAAATTGGTAGTTACAAAGCAGTCATGGGGATGTAAAGTACAGCATAGGGAATATAGTCGATAGTATTATAATAATTATGTATGGTGCCAGGTGGGTGCTAGACTGATCATGGGGATGATCAGTCCCCATGATCAGTTATATAAATGTCTAGTCACTATGCTGTACACTGGAAACTAATATAAAATAATATTGAATGTATAATTGAAGAAAAAGATTAATTAAAAATTTTTTTTAATTAAAAAGAATGAGGATTCATCTTTAGAGTAATGAGATAAATTGGATCATAGATCCTTTGGGAGAACATCAATTATATAAATTGGAAACCCCTCAATTGTTTCTCATGTGAACAGAATTCTTCCTTATGTACTGCCAAGGAAAGCCACCACACCTCAAGTCAAGTTGAAACACCTACGTTCTGTAGGCCAACAGGCAAACTTTGGCAATCAGTGGAGATTTAAGGCTATGACATTTTTAAGACACACAGTCACTATATTGCTCAACAAATGGATTCTTTATGTCTTTATCTTACTTGGGCTCTTCACATTATTCAGAACTGCTAATCTTTTCATCTTTTTGATACATTCACCCCTCTGCTTTCTAGATACCAAATTTTCCTGGTGTTCCTCCTACTTCTCTTGCTGTTATTGCTCAGCTTGGAGTTTCTCCAGACCACACAACTAATATAATTTGAATCATAAGGGCAGGTGCCTAGTTATAAATTACAAGGAAAGACTTCTCCTTTTAGGCCAGAGGCCATATTACAATAGGTTTATTTCTCAAGTATCTATGTCAGTCCACTCTTTTATTGAGATGTAACACTTTGAAAGTCCTTATCTTTATGTGAAGTCTTAGTTCCAATTTTTAGCCCTTACCTTGTGCCCTAGCATGGCTATTAAAACCCAGTTCTCTGTCCCTACATGTCAGTGATGGCCTGTTACTGCTCCAGTTTGGTTCTGTTTGCTTTTTATCCCAGCAAATAATGTTACAAATTTAAAGATTTTTAGCTATTTTTCACCCAGCATTTCTAGATATTATATATCAGGAAATTTTTAGGTTATGTATTTTACCATTTTGCCTGAAAAATGGATGGATATGTAGAATATTATTTATTTATGATTGTTTAGGAAAGAGAAAAAAATCACCCATAATCTCACTGCTAACGTGGCAAGTCTTCACTTGTTGTCTATATGCAGATACATGTTTAAATCATTGCAATCTCTATTGTTTCTTAGAATACAAAGGGTCATTTACTACACATATTACTTTAATTTTTATATCTTCTCTTTCTTTCCAGAACAATATAGCTGAAGTACAAGAATTGCATTCTGAATTAATGTGGAAGGATTTTATAGACCACATCAGTAGCCTCCTACACAGTGTTGAAGTGGAAGTCAGTTACTTTGCAGAAGGAATTATTGCCCATTTAATATCTAGAGGTGAACAAGCTTGGACTTTGAGCCGTAGCCAGAGGAATTCTCTTCTGGATGATCTGGTAGGGTCATTTGGTGTTTTCTAGAAGCATAGAAACAACATTGATAGTGGTTAAACTGTCAGAGCCTAATGCATAATGCAGTGCTAAATAAGGATTTTAATCCTTTCTTGTGTGTCTTGTGTCTTGCAGCATTCAGCTATTTTGAAATGGCCAACTCCAGAGTGTGAGATGGTAGCATACAGGTAATTAACAAGATAATTAATATTAAGTCAGTAACCTATCCATTTGGCTTGTCTAGAGGTCATTCCTACTGGATGTATAATTTTTTCTTCAGGCATCTATCTTCCTTACTGGCTTTGAGTAAGACATGGTACCTGAACACAAGAACCTTACAGCCTAGTAAGGGGAGCCAAATGTGATCAGCTATAACTCACTATTATGATAATTTTGTGCATAGAATACTATGAAATTAAAGATGAAGTTACTTAAATCTGCACTGGAAAATGTGAAAAAGCTTCCAGAGGAAAGTGAAGCTGAGTTTTGAGAGATAATTAAGTAGGGGCAGAAGATTTTAGGAATAGGAAACAGTATATTAATGCAAGGAGGTCTAAAGCAGGATGACACTTTGAAAGAACTAGAAGCAGCACCAGATTAGTTTGGGAAACAATTTGTAATAATTTATTAAAGTGCATAGTGGATGCCTAACTCTTTTTATAACCATTAAGGTGACTTGATAGTTAAGTTACTAATTAACTGAAGTATTCCGGATTGCTGCATAAATAATATTATTACAAATTATTTTTGTTGTATACTTCATAAATGTTGATGCCGCCAACAGTTTTGAGTTCCCCAATTTATATTCTACCCATTTTTATGCAAAAGACCAATAGAAATAGAAAGGCTAATTCTAGACCTCCTTCATGGTGTTCTATCAGTTAGTTACCAACTAACTTCTCCTTTTCTAAGTTTTCCAACCAAAGTATGCTATTCTTCAAATATTTATCTTCAATACCAAAAAAGTACTTTTGGAAAAAATATTTTTCTGTGTTAGTACCTTATCTGGTCACCTTCCATCTTCTTTGCCAAGACTTGTCAGAATATGATCCTTACTCAAATGGCTAAGACAAAGGAAAGGTATACTATAGCTCATTTATATTAGTTTAAGAATAGTTGAATGAAATTTCTAGAATGAAAAGCTCAGGAATTATTGCTTTAGAAAATGACACTAAGATAGGATGTAACTTATTTTCTTTTGAACTTTTAGGTCCTTTAATCCATTTTTCCCATTACTTGGCTGTTTCACAACACCAGGAGTCCAGCTATGGGCTGTTTGGGCCATGCAACATGTCTGCAGTAAGAATCGTATGTACCAAAAAGAAACTATGTTTTTCTTTTCCAAGAGAAATTTTCCTTACATAGGAAAGCCATTTCTGAATCGTGTATTGAATTGATTTTTAAGGACACTGACTTAAAAAAAAATACAGTGTAAGAGAATCTTAGGTTATAAACTAAATTTATGCTTTCGGAATGAGCTTGGTGAAAGTAGATACTGAATGACAATGTTGAAGGAGATTTACACTGTTCTAACCTTATGGGATCTAAAGATGAGCCTACAGTGAG